CGTGGCTCCCTTTTGGCTCCCTTTCGGTCCGAAGATTCCCGACGCCATCTCGGCATCGCGATTGCGCTTCGTTGCAGGAGCCGACGCTAAGGCGCGCTCCGAAATCGCGCCCTTGGAACCAAAGAGTCCACGGACGCAAAATGGTTCAGAGCATGATGTTGGACTCGAAACGTTCCCGATCAGCTATGTTCATGCAAATATCACTACCATTAATAGCCCTTACTGTAGGGTAGCGGTAACGATCGTGCGGGGAGGGGCTTCACCCCCTCCACATGCGGGTGCTCGCTCGCATACCATAGCGATCGCAGCGCACCGCCGCCCAGACGTGCCCCACCCCGCCGAAACGCTCCCGTTACCCAGGCCCCCCCCTCCGGGAAGCGACCGTTACGGGATATATGTATGTGTACATTAATTATACATGTATGTATGTATGTATGTATGTATGTATGTATGTATGTATGTATGTACGTACACATATGTATCATATATATGTATGTATGCATGTATGGGTACATGTATGTATGCATATATACACACATATTTATGTGTATATATATATATATGTGTGTACGTATGTGTGCATTCACACATCTGAATGACAATATGTGTGATTTCATGTTTGTTTGAGCACATATATTTGTAGATGCATGTAAACATATATGTTCGTATGTATGTACATACATGGAGATGCACGCATATATGTATGTACATATACATGCTTGTAGGCATGCGCGTATGTATTAATGTATGTATGTATGTCTGTGTGTATGTGTGTACGCATGCATATTTGTATGGATGTATGCATGGAAACATGTATACATATGTATGGATGTATGCATGTGCGGATATTTAAATACACATACATACACATATATAAACATATTTGTATGCGTGTATGCATGTATACGCATTTATTGATGTATGTCTGTGTGTATGCAGGTATACATGTATATGTGTGTATTTAGGTATGCATGTATGTATGTATGCACATATGTACGTATTTCTACCTAGCTGTATTTATGTACGTATGCACGTGTGTATCCATGTACATTTATATGCATGTATGTATGCATGCATGCATGTACGTATGCATGAATGTATGTATATAACAGTCTTGAGGTGTGAGGTGTGTCTTCGCACCTTTTCGGTGGTCCCCTTGCAGCCCCCGCACGAAGTCGGTTATTGTTACGGACCCTTCGTCGTCGCCCTTTTTTCTGGCAGCTTGTGCAGCGTGTCCACCTGCGGCGCTCCAGGCAGGGCCTCGCCTGCGACTGATCGAGGGGGCTGGCAGCGGAAAACCGGTGGAAATTGGGAGAAGTCGAGCCAGGGGAACTTTGCCGGCGGAAAGTTGGCGGGACTTAACAGTTGTAAGGCTACGTCGCAAGAGCCGGCGATCGATCAAGTCGCAGGGCACGGCGCTCCTGTGTCCCAGTACATATATCCGTACGCTTTATGAGGGCATCACTATTGATCTAGAACATCACGTTGTGCAAGTGGTGCAACCTGGTTATGTGGTGTAAACTATGTGGTACATGTTATGTGAGTCGCATGTTATGTGAGTCGGTGAAGGTGGTGTAAGCGATGTGGTGCAATCTATGTGCTGTGCAGTCGAAGTGGTGATACATACGTGTAGATTCACATAGTTGTTTGCAATGCAACATTTGAGGTGTAAGCAATGTGGTGCACTCGATGTCGAGTCAACGTGCCCATCTACACGGTGCGAGCTCTATAGTGCAAGCATTGTGGGGCAATCTATGTGGTCCGATCTATGGGGTGTGAGCTATGTCTTGCAGTGTATGTGGTGCAATCTATGTGGTGTGAGCTATGTGGTGCAGTCTAATGTGATTGACTTCTATCGATTGCCATGTAATGGGGGGGCAACAGAACGGCGGTGACGGGCGGGGCGACATGCGGCGACGGCGACAACAAACGCGGCGACCGACACCCAGCCGCAATGGAGCGGCGACGGGCGGTGACGGCGACAACAAGCGCGACGATCGACCCCTACAGGCCCAGAAGCAGCGGCGACGGACGGGGGCGACGGGCGGCGGCGGCGACAGCAAGCCAGCTGGACCGACACCCAGGCCCAGTTCTTCAGAAGAGATGCGCGACCCCTATGTACAAGCACGATCTTTCTGACTTTTGCTTGTATTCTATGGCTACGTATATATATATATATATACACGTGCACATGAATCATGGTGGTCGCAACAAGCTTTTTTTGGTGTGCCCCTCGGCAGTCATACAAACAAGTGTCAGGAGGGAGAACAAAGACAGACAAATTGGGAGCATGGGAAATAGAGGGGAGGGAAGACGAACATGCAGAAAACATGGGAAATATAGGGAATCCCTTGGTTTGTGTCTATTTCTTGTGTGTCCCTGGGCGCCTTCAGCCACACAAACACGTGTGTCGCTCCAAGTGATCCTTTTCTTATTCAGTTGTTTGCCGATCGGCGCGGGCCGTCGCACCCCCCCCCTCCCCCGGCCCCCCGTGGAGTAGACAATCGCTGTTTTGGCGCCCGTTTTGGTCAAGTGGAGTCCCCCCCTGAGGACGCACTGTTTCAAAGAGTCGCGCTAAGGAGAGGTCCGGAGCCAGACCTCCCCCCCCTCCCCCCCCCTCCTTCCGCCCAATGTCGAAACGCCGAATAATAAAAACGTCCACGTGGCCGAGGTCGAGCATCGAAGGCTCGCCGGCCTTCGTCGAGGTCAAAGACCTCGAGCAGTGGCGAGGCGTCCTGGCTGGCCCGTAGGCCCACGGAAGAGTGTTCTATAAAACTTGTGCGGTTTGCACGGCATGTTCTCAGAACATTCTTGGGTGAGGCCGTCGTGTTGCAGCACATTGGTTGTACTAGAGTATTGTTTTCTCTGATTCGAAAGTTTTGGTTTTTGGAGCATTTCGTGGGAGGCCTATGGGAATGCCGGGACGGGCAGCCCTTGCGCAAGGAGGGCCTCGCCGAGGTCAAGGCCCTGGGTTTCGCCGAGGTCGAGGAACGAAGGACCGGTGGTCGAATCATGCTGGGTTTGGGCCACCACGTGCTACGACAAGGCCGCCGCTGCAGTCCAGCACGAAGGTGCAGATTGCAAGCCTTCGTGGGATGTTGTGATGGCCTCCGGCCAGTGCCGCCGATCCGGGGTGCTACCGATTCTGCTTGCGACGGAGGACCTTTTATGTTTAGAAGAAGAGCACTCGCTCGAGACATCCTCATAAGATAGAGATGTTGAACTTGCTTGGGCAACCGTCGGATATTCGAAAGTGACGATTTCGCGTGAACAGCCAAACTCATGGGATGTCCCCTCCCGCCTTCAGGCCTAATGGCGTCAGCCATGGCGTCAGCCCCCGCCCCCCCCCGGCACGAAAGAGCAGATTGCAAGCATTCGTGGGATATTTGTTTGGTGTCAGCCTGCCTGGCCAGCCCGAGATTTGACTTTCGGTCGAAGCCTTCTCTGGAATATTCGGCGCTGCGTTTGTTCACGACGTCGTTCGGTCACCTGGTACCAGGCCAAACATAGACCGAATGACTGGGTTGATGCCCAAGGGGTCAAATAGTGCCCTGCCGTGCAAAGTCGACCGAGGAAGACCGCGCGGGCCTCCGAAAGTTGAATTCTTGTGCTGCCCCGAGGTTTTGGAGCTATGGCGCAAGGGCAAGTTAGGTCTCAAATGGGGCGCTCGGAATTCGTGGCCGCATGGCATAATGCCATGGCACCCGGCGCTCCTCTCGCACCTGGCCGCATGACTGACCGTACCAGTACTCGAAATCCCGACCTCCAAAAGCTTGCTCCCCCCTCCTGCTTCTCCCTCCTCAGGAAGTCTAAGGCAAGCCTTCCGCGGAAGCCCTTGCAGGCTTCCTGAGGCGGAGGAGGGGCCTGAGGACTTCAAAAACATCGACCCTCGTTGCTCGAGCTCGAACTCCTGGGCCCAGATTTCCAACGACGTGTACCATGAGCTGACAACTAGCACCCATACTTGTGCGACCCCCAGGGTTCTCGGGGTGGACTTCCAGGGGTGGCTATAGGTGTGCATTGTCGGCTGGGGGTCCCAGTTCGATCGGGAGCCTGCCTCGGGGTCCGACAACTCGCACCCATATGTAAAACGCCTGCATCGCCTTGGCATTCCCAGCTTCTCCTCCCTACAGGTTTGGGCGCGCGTTTTTCTTTCGTCAAATGAATATGTTCGACACGCAGCCTGCGCATGTCTCCACCCAAACCTGGGACCGATTTCTTGCCCGGGATCGTCTGGATGGTTGGGAACCGCTCTCAATATTCGAGCCTCGGACTTACCAGTGGCGCGCTCTGACCATAGTTTCGACACGGATTCAGCCGCTGCCACGCGGGCGCCCAGGGGAGTCCCAAGAAGGCTCCCAAGCATCCCGAAACCTCGATCTTCGATCCCCAAACTTCGAGGCTCGCCACCCGCCAGGGCGTTTCCACTGGCCACTCCTAGGCTTGGCCCGGCCTTTGCTCACCAGCCTCGAACTTATCCCTATCCCTAGAACTTTGCTCACACGCCAAAAGGCTATGACAATCTTAGGGGTGCACCCTCAGAAACCGAGGAAATCCCTAAGATCGCCATCGTGATGAGGCGATGCCCAACATAGGGATAGGGATAGGTTCCAGGCTGGTAATTTGCTGCGCACAGGTGACCGTCTGCGGGAGGGCGTCGTCCTCTTCACGCAGAAGGGCGCGAGGCGTGCCCTCGGGGCGAGGGGGGGCTTACGGTCAACGCGCCTAGCCAGGTCCGCGCCCTTCATCTGGGGTTATGATGTTCCAACTTGCTTTAGCCTTGATCACCAGAAAGAATTTCGAGCGCCAGAAAAGCACCTCAATCAAAACTCGAGGGATTTCACGTGTCGGGCCCCGGGAGACATTGTTTCGGCATCCTTTCGACACTCTTTCGACACTTTTCCCAGGTGCTCGACATCGTTCCTGGGATGTGGTCCTGAAGTGCGATGGGAGCAACGTCAATCGGGGGTGCCCTTGTGTCCTTGCCTCTGCGGCCCGTCCTTTGCCGTCCTCACTGGTCGCCCGCCGCCCCCCAAAAAATCCCGGCTTCGGCCCGTAGCCATTTTGGCTCAAGCCAGTAGCCATTGCCGTTCTGATTCCAGGCTGCTGCTCGGCTTTACGCCGGCCCACTCGTGCGCACGCGCTTCAATCCGATGGAGCTGCAGCTCGACGCCCAGGCAGCGGGTGCCAGCAACGATGATGCGCAGCCGCTTTTGCCGCTTTCAGCACAGAGCGGCAAGAATTGGTTGCGTGCTGCGCTGGCTACTGTGGTGATCGTGGCGGTTGCTATCGCGTCCGTCATGGCTTTCAGCCACCAGAAGCTTCGGGCGGAGTCCGTCAACTTGGTCGCGACGCAGTTGGCCAGCACCATCAAGCCTTTAAAGCCGCGGAAGGTGTGTGCTTCAGGCGCAGAGAGTTGCATGGACTCGGGCTGCTGCAAGCAAACAGGCGCAAAGTGCTTCAAGATGGATGACAAGCACGCTTGGTGCAATATGACTTGTTCCAAGGGGAAGGGTTGGTCCTGCGAGGACATTACTGCCACGAAGGATGAAGTGGCAGCAGAAAACCCAGGTACAACGTTGTACTGCTACACGGTGGTTTTCCGCGATAACCATGGCAAGCCCAACCATGAGCTGGAGTTGTTGAAGATGCAGATGCAGAGGGGGCTGAGTCTATTTGCATGCGATGCGTACGAGATTTTCAGCGACGTGCAACTCTCGGTGGGCGACTACGAGGCAGTCAAGGTTGAAGATCTCGAGGGGGATTTTTGCAAATACACGCGTCCTGATACGGGAGCGTGTGCCAACACGGCCATATTCTATCAAGTGTGGCAGAAGATGCGTGGGACAAGTGCTGTGTGGAACAAGGTGCAGGACAAGAATTGGGTGATCAAGGCAGACATTGATGCCGTGTTCATCCCTGCGCGATTGCGGGACATGCTATCACAAATGGGGGAGCCAAATGTAGGAGTGTATTATGAAAATTGCAAGGGCGTGGACTCGGGATTCTACGGCAACCTCGAGGTGGTGTCAACCAAGGGCTTCAAGATAGTCGCTGATAACATGGAGGAGTGCAAGCGAAACCTCTGCTGGGGCGGCGAGTTGTGCGAGGATTGGAAGTGGGGACCTTGGGGTGAGGACAAGTTCTTGCAGGAGTGCATGGACAGGCACGGTGTCGCCAAGTTGCCACTCTACGAGCTGACCTACGACGGCTGTTGCGCAAGCGACCGGCCCGCAGGCGTGGAGACGCTCCCGAATTCGAAGAACAAGCCGCTGAAATGGAAGCCTTCATGCTTGGATTCGTACGCTCCATCCACGCATCCCTTCAAGACCGTGGAGTCGTGGGAGGCCTGCTATGCCGACACCATGAAGCCGAAGCCGCCGACGACTTCGTCGCACCCCCCGGAGTACTGCACCCAGACGCCGGCGGCCACCTGTGGCAATTCCGAGAGGCTGTGCGTCCTGGACCACCAGCGTTGCAAGGGCGCGGCGGGCAGGGACGAGGACCTCGGCCAGGGGTTCTGCTGCACCGCGGCGGGCTGGGCCGACGAGGTGCCCATGATGCGGGGGTGCCGCTTCTGCGGGGACGAGGAGTGCGGCCCCTGCCCTTCCTGATGCGGGCTCGCGGCGCGTGCGGGGCCGCAGCGCGAGCTTCCCGTGAGTGGGCAACTTGCCCCTTGTATCGCTTCATCCGGCAAATCAGTGGAGTTTGACACTGCGCACGCTTGGAAGTAGTAGGACGGATTTTTAGGGCGGTGCGGGAATCAGTTTCTTGGCCGCTCCGTATGTTCATTTTTGTTTCATGCCCTGTCGCGGGTGCCTACGATTTTTCGGCCGAGAGTCGCTGCACCATGTGCTCGGTGGCGTGACCGTGTGGCACGAACTCATCACACACTGCACCTCTGTATTTGCGGCGCAGGTCGCAGTTCGCGAGGGGCGGACACGGCCGTAGTTCGCCGCAACGGAGGTGAGCTTTTGTTTTCCAACATGCGTCGCAGGTTTAGGTTTGGAACCTGGTGGATGTTTTTCGGCGAGCCAGGCCGCCCTGCAGGGTCGGGGCGCGGGAGACCCCCTCATCGCTGCATCCGTCAATTTTTTCCGATGTGGCGCGCAGTGGTTCTGAAGTAGTGCGGCTCGAAGGGCTGAGAGGCGCGGGAACCAGTTTCCTGGCAGCCGTGTAGGTGTATTCTCTTGCGTGTTTGCGATTTCTACGAAGAGCACTGTGGCACCACAGACCGCGCAGGCCGCAGACCGCGAATAACAAAAAACAATCCCGGCTTCGGCCTCCGAGGGTCTTGCGTCCTCTTGCCACCCGTGCTTTCTCTGGCACGCTTTGGCCGTGCCCCCGCGTGGGGAGGAGTGCTCCGTGGGCGGGAAGCATGCTTCGAAGAAGCAGCAGCAGCTGCACGAGCATCAGCGTTCGAAGCCCCGCACGGACGTCTTGGATCTGCGCTGGGTCCCCAGGGGGCGGCTCTGGCGCCTCCCCTGGCGCCGCCCCTGGCGCGCGGAGGAGGCTCAGCGGCGACTCAAGAATTCGCGGGGACCTCCGAAAGGGTACGCGTATCGCTTTCCTTCTTCTTGGAATCCAGCTGCATGCGGCACATCCCGCCGCCGTGCTTGTGCAACATCACAGCAGGAGGGAGACTGAGCGTAGAAGCAGTGCCATTCCGACGACTAGTCTTAGTCGGGACGGGTCGTGCACTCGATCTCGTGTTCGTCCTCGCGGAAGGGTGGGTGTCGAGTTCACGCCTCGCTGCAGGTCAGCGAGCGGTCTGAACTGAGGCGGGTCGTGATCTCGACCTCATCTTTGTCCGCACGGTAGAGAGGAGGAGGAGGAGGAGGAGTTGGAGGAGGAACAGAGGGCGAAGCAGGGGAAGGAGATGGAGACACTGCAGACAAAGAGGAGCACACACATTCAAACACACATTCAAACACACACACACACACATTCACACACATTCACACACATACACATAATTTGCCTCCTCGGGCGCTCTTGGAGGGCCTCTTGGAGGGCCTCTTGGAGCTCTTATGGGCCGTCTTGGAAGCCTCCTGCGCTGGCTGGAGACGGTCTCGGAAGCCACCTGAGTGCTCTTGGGCCATCTTGGCCCGTCTCGGTGTCGTCTCGGCCGTCTTGGAAGCCGTCTTGGAGGCCATCATGGCCGTCTGGAGGCCGAACACCCGCCAGAGAACAAATTCAGGGGGGCGATCTTCAAACCGCGCGTACGGCGAGGAGGGGAGGGTTCGGCCCTACAAAAAATTGAACAGCCCTACTGTCGGACCGAAGTAGAAGATCGAGGTCGGCTCGGGGAGGATACCCCAGTGTTCTTCGTGCTTGTCGCATGCTCCTGTGCATCCTGGGAGCGGGCGCTCTCGAATGTTCGTCGGTTTGGTCCAGCGGAGGGCCTCATGCTCTTGAAGGATGTTCTTCTGTCCCAGGTCCGGCCGTATCACAGAGGAGCACTCGAACACCCCCACTCTTCGCGGGCTGCTCAAGGTGCCCCTGGCACCAAGGTGCCCCTAGCTTACGCCCCGCTTGGGGGCCCCTGGGGCCCTCTCTGGGCCTCGCGAGGGGCTCGCTGGAGGCCGTGGGGGCCACCTTGGAGGTCCTGGGGGCACTTTGGGCCAGGGGCACTTCTGGCACCCCCCCCCCGCTCCGTGCAGGCACGGCTGATATTTCCCCAGATGTCATGGCGCCAGGGGTCAGGGGCCAGGGGTCGGCGAGCGACCACTACGGTCGGGGGCGGCCAAGAGCCGGAGGTTGAGAGGCCTGCTACCCTGACACGTCGATTAGCAAATTGGCCGTCTTCGGTTCGCGAGATAGCGGCGCGGCCGTCATTTTTGCGGGTCCAGGTCCGTCGGTTTCAGTCCCAGGCCGTTTTCACTAAAGGGTGGTTTACTAAAGGGAGGTTTGTCCACCGCCGAAAGAGGGGGGGTGATGACTAGGGGTGTGCGGATATCATGGCCGTGGGCCATGATGTTTCCCCAGACGTCATGGCGCCTCTTCTTAGTTCATTACGTCCCTGGCCCCCCCTTGGGCCGCGCACGTGCCGCCGCTCTTGGACGCCCCCCTCTTGGCCGCCTCTGGTATGCTTGCGGCAGGTTCGTGTGGGTGTCGACGCAGGGGCGACCTCGCCGCGGGCGTTCAAGGCTGAACGCCGCCAGTGGCCCAGAATCGGCCAAGACAGAAGGAGCCGGCGATCGAGACGCCGCCGACCGTGCAGGGTTGAACGATCCACGCGGTGTCAGAGACCGACGCCGAAGTCGTCACGACGCGAGCCTGCCGTACGCCAGGGGGTGGTCTGCGATCGGCGCCGTGGTGGCCTGGGGTGCACGACGCCGTCCTCGTCGGGCCTCCTCGGGGCGCGGCGAAGAGCTCTGTCGAAGTCCTCGCCCGCACCCCAGGCTACCCTTAAGTCGGGCGCGTCTCCCTACTGGGGGATTTTCGGCGAAAAATTAAAAAAAATCAATACTTATTCCAAAATGGTCAAACAACAGCTAAAACATTGTCCCCATACTATGTTTTGACTATTTTTGAATATTCCTCCTGTAGAGGGACGGGCCCGACTTAAGGGTACCCCCCCCCAGGGGGCCGGTTGCAGACCACACCCTTTGCCTTTGCCAACCACCCTTCAGGGAGCCGCCGAAAGGGGGCCACCAGGGGGTGAAGACGCAGGGCAGGCCTTAGGGGAGGGGTCGGAGTTGCGAGGCTCGCGTGAACACTAAACCCATCAGCGGAGAAGGAGATGGAGGAGGGCCAGAGTAGACCGAAGGTGCACCAAGGGTGTTGCACTAAACCCTCCTGTCCCAACTCCACTTCTCATAAGTTCCTTCAAGCTTTCCCCTTTTCCGCAAGAAGCGCCCCCTTGAAAGACGAACATCACATGTTCCTGTCATTCAGGCGAGAGCCCTGTTCTGAAAGGAGTTGTGCTGCTTCCCTCTAGCGGACTGTAGGGGACGCGAAGAGCCAGGATCAGAACGTTTGAACAATGCGTCGAGCGAGAGTCCCTTTTTTGGAACTGTACAATTTCGCATTCGAATTTTAGGAAGTCTCGATCTCGCGGAAGCTACATTCGGAAAAGGGGCCGCCCTCCGTTTAGTTGTTGCAGAATTGTTTGAGACAAGTCAGCGTGGCGCTGAGGCGATAGCCCCATTTGGAAATCACACCTCCATCGTAGTGATTGGTATGCGGTTATTACAAGTGCTTCAGACGAATGTGCAGGGTACTCAGGCGAGATCGGGCACTCAGGCGAGATCCCCAATGAGCGACCCAACATTTCGAGGTCGTTTGCGCCGAGATTGGTGCGTAAGCTGCCCGCGTAAGGTCCTGCGTAAGTGCCTTCGCTTCCGACGTGGTGTGCCGCGTTGGCGGCCCGCGCAAGTTACCGCGTACGGTCGGCACGCCACCTCGCGTAAGACCCCTTTCGTTTCGTCGCTCAATTGGAACCGGAAAGGCCTCCCTCCATCCTTATCGAAGACGCCTACCTACGGCGAGTCACCGCCGCCCCCTGCCCCTTTGGAAGCGCCTATGTGGCCGACAGCTGGGCTAGAGCTTGGCCAAGCTATCGGGCCAGTTTTTCCTCGAGTCGGTTTGGAAAGCCTTCGGGGAACGCGTGGGGGAGCAAGAGGAGGAGGATCAGGTGAGGGAGGATGAGGATGATTAGGAGGACGATGAGGATGAGGATGAGGACGAGGATGATGGGGACGGAAGAGGAGTAGGAGGAGGGGACTTATTGGGAACCGTCATGCGAGGCCTCTTGGGAGGCCTCTGCGGAGCTTCCTGGGAGCCTTCTGGAGGCCTCTTGGGAGCCTCCCTTGGCCTTGGGGGCTTCTTGGAGGCCTCTTTGGCCGTCTTAGGGCGTTCCCGACCCGTCTGACACCGTCGGAAGCCGTCTTGGGGGCCTCTCTGAACCGACTTGAGGCTCTCCTGGGGTGCTTCAGGGCCGTCTTGGGGAGTATCTTGGACGTCTTGGAGGTCACCGTCTTGCGGGCCTCGTGGACCGTCATGCGGCCATCTTGGAGGCCTCTTGGGGCGATCTTGGGGCGACCTTGGGGGGTCTCTTGGGCCGTCTTGGGCCGTCGGAAGGCCGACAAGGCGCAAATGCCAAAATCTCTCGAAAACCTAAGGACAATCAATGATGTTGGCCTCTTCGGGCCTTCTGAAGGAAGTCTTGCAGGCCTCTTGGACTGTCTGGGAGGCCTCTTAGGGGCCTCCTGGGCCGTCTTGGGCCATCTTGAGGCCATCTTGGGCCGTCTTGGGTGCATCTTGGGCCGTCCTGAAAGCATTTTGAGGCCATCTTAGCCGTCGTGGAGGCCATCCTGGCCGTCTTGGGGGCCATCTTGGGTCATCTTGGAGCCATCCATGTTGAGGTCATCTTAGGCCATCTTGGGTGCATATTGGGCCGTCTCAGCCGTCTTGGAGGCCATCTTGGTCGTCTTGGAGGCCTGTTTTGGGCCCTCTGGGGGACGTCTTGGGAGCCGTCTTGGAGGCCTCGTGGGCGATCTTGGGGCGATCTTGGAGGCCTCTTGGGCCGTCTTGAGCCGTCGGAATGCCGAAAAAGAGCAAAAGCCAACATTCTTCAAACACAATAGGAACATCAATGATTTTGACCTCTTCGGGTCCTCCTGGGTGACCTCTTGGAGGCCTCTTGGGCCGCCTTGGAGGCCTCTTGGGAGTCTTGGGCCATCTTGAGGCTGTCTCATGCCATTGTTGGTGTATCTTGGGCCGTCTTAGAGGCCTCTTGGGAGCCTCTTGGGCCGTCTTGGGCCATCTTGAGACCATTTCAGGCTATTGTTGGTGCATCTTGGGCCGTCTTGGAGGCAGCTTGGAGCCATCTGAGCCGTCTTGGAGGCCATCTTGGCCGTCTTGGGGGCTGCTTTACAATTTTGATATCCCTACAGCTCTCTGAATATTTCAGGGCTGCATCAGCCTTGGGGCTCGACGTGCTGCAGGCACGGTGGCGGATCATGGTTGTGATCTATCAAGAAGCTTACGTCATTCCGCCGAACCCCAGATGAAGTAAGGAGCACATGGAAATTGCCAGGACGAGGCAGGGGCTAGAGTGTCTGACTAGCTGGGCTTCAGCCAGTCTGGGCTTGGACATCATTGCAGGTCCCGTTAAGGTCTCCCCTCCTCCGACAGGGTATTGGACATCAGAGGAGTGGGAACGAGAGATTGCCGGGGGGTCCTCAAACGGGGTCGTGACCACACCGTGTGGTGGAGTCGGTGGGGATTCGGGGTCACCGCACGGTTTTGGA